TCGTGCTAGGAGCCTGACGCCAGGCAAGTACCTCTGCGGCTGCACAGCAAGGACCTCTATATTGGGTCGGACAGCGCCCCTCTTCACCGGCCATCCAAGCCATTGCCCAGCCCTAGAGATCACCTCGTCCACTCTCCTACAGCAGCTAGGAACTGGAGACCCGCATTTTCTACTCTATTCTACTGTGTGGCAGCAGAGATCATCTGAATCATCAACTGCTAGTATCAAATAACTAAATCAGCTGCTCTCATTTGAACTGTGTCTTTTCACCATACAATTCAGCTGTTTTCATTGATCTGTGTCTTTCCACCATACAATTCAGCTGCTCTCATTAAACTGTTTGCTGTCAACCCTATCAGGGATTGTGAAGTCACCCTGTACGTAGCAGGTAGATAAAACTACACAACCAGTAAAATTATTATCTGAAGCTGAGATCCACTCCAACCATAATAGCCGCATCAGAGCATTACACTCCATCCCCTTAATTAGTTTAGTTGCCCTTCTCTGGAGCCTTTCCAGCTCAAGGACATCCTTTCTGTGTATTAGTGGCCAAAACTGGACCGCATACTCTAGATGAGGCCGGACAAGTGATCTATACAGTGGCAAAATTATAGATTTGTCTCTACAGTACATTCCCTTTTCAATTGTATTGGAGGGGTTATATGAGGTCACAGCTCTGACCAGCGTCTAATCACCTGATGATGCCTCCATATTACCCAGTCATCTATGAATTGCCTGTGTCCTGTACCATATGATCAACATATAGAAGTAGTAATACCACTGCTGGGTGACAACAAAACTAGCTGCAGGGTGATACCGCTGTGCCACAGCTAAGTAATAACAAACACTGCTATTGTTGGGCGATATAACGCTCGGCCATTGCTGGGTGTTCCAAACAACAAACTGACATATGAGTACAGTGCCTATAGCTTGTCATGGGTGAAAGGTCTGACAATATTTCACTACTTCACTCAAAGCACTGGCCCTTTAATGAATGTAATTTATACATTTCTGCTATGGGTCTATTGATTGGTAATATGGAATTAACGACCAAACTATTGCCCAAAGTAATACATATACAGTGTATGTGTGTGTGTGTGTGTGTGTGTGTGTGTGTGTGTGTGTGTGTATATATAAACATAAAAGGCTTCCTTTTGGCAAAATATTGTTTTGTGAAAATAATTAATCTGCTATACAATATAAAGGCAAACAGATATAACCAAACAAAAAAAATATATATATATTTTTTAAAACAAGTAATGTAAACGTAGACAAAAGTGCAAATTTTGTTCTATGATTTGTCTCATTTAAAAGACACAAATTGGCATTTCGGGTAAAAAACAAAAAAACAAAGTGAAGTTATTCATAAATGAAGTAAATGGATTTATTAAGATATTTGTGCAATTGTTAATCAAATATGACACAACAAAAAGTGAAGTAACAAAATGAATAAAAATGAAACATACATATGAAAGGTTGAAAGAAAAGAAAAAATGAATAACTAAAAGGAGGAGAGAAGGGAGGAGTTGAAGAGGAACTTTAACCATATCTTCAAAATAACAACAAAGGCACCTATAGAAATGTTTTATAATGGCAATGTACAAACTGATACTTCCTCCCCATTCTTCTCACAGCGGCCATTTTTACTAAGGGTCAGATTATTCCATCTCCCTATACTTCCTGGAACTCTGGCACATGTGACTAGGACATGTGACCATGCACATCATCTCAGGGAAGGAAAATGCCTTTCCCTGAGACCTTGTGAGATTACAGATGAGATTTCCCAGCAATGCTTTGCTGATGTCACCTTCCCAGGATGCAACGCTCGGGCACATGACATCACTTTTCTCAAAGAGGACCAGGAAGCTGAAAAATAATAGGTAGGTAAAAGAAAAATATGTTTGTTTAACTAATGAATGTGAGATGATTTCATATCAGCATGCAGAGCTCCATACTGATGTGATTTTTAGCCAAAGGTCCGCTTTAAAGGGATGTTTGAGGTTAAATTTAAAAATGTTTCATTAAAAAAAAAAGGAAATTTCTTTAACTGCAATTAAGTATATGCACTTTTTTAATATACAGTATACTGAAAAATATTAATTGCATAATAAAACCATATGAATATTTTAGGTTTGACATTTCCTGTACATTGTAGTCCCACGGTTCTTGATGACCCTGTCAATGCTCCAGTAATATAAAGGTCAATACAGCCTACAATTTTTAATTACCAACTATATTAGACCAAAGCCGCAGAGGAAGATTGCCTTTACTTGGGATTCTTGGCTTCTTGAAAACTTCTACTTCCTTCCCCTTCTTTGTAATGTTAAAAGCGGCTGGTAAGGGTTTGTGTTAACCCCGTCTGTACTGTGCTGGCTTTTTTCATTATAATTTTTAAAGTAGATTTGAACACTGCCTGTCCTAATAAAGGGTTAAAGGATTACAACCCTGGCTTGTGCATTGTATGTTAATGAGAAAAACACAATCCACATATTCCTGTTCTCAGTCTTTATATAAGGAGAGGTCCCTGTGAAGGTGATGAGAAAAACCCAGATTCAGCCATGTTGCCTGCTGCAACAAAACATTTCAAAGGCAAGAAACATTTAATTTTAGGCATGCTATATGAATGGGAACACATACCAAACATATCAAGGGGTTTTCTCAAATTTGACTGCAAACGTGGAAATAGACTTTAAGAATTGGTAAGCTGCAAAAACATAACATTTTTATTTTGTGTTTAGATACATCCCAAGTACAGAAAAACAAAACTATTTTCCATGCCTGTTTAGAAAGCCAGTGCCCCCCACCAGCACCTGCAGAGTGGGACTCTTGCACTCTGTGAGGAAGCAGTGGTCTCTCTGATTTTTGGTCAGAGCTAGAGCTCTCCAATCATCATAGCTAACGTTTCCCCCGCTGAGTGGAAGTTTTTACTCTGACTCGGAACTCTGCAGAGAGATCACTGCTTCCACATAGAGCAAGAATCGTTCTATACAACTTGCAAACAGGAGACCGGCTTTCCTACTCAGGATGTGGCAGCTTTCCCAGGAAAACGACCTGTAAGTCTTTCTACCTTTTGTTTTGATGCGCCGGGAATGTAGTTATCTAATTTAAACAGAAAGTTTAGATGGGCTTTAAGGATAAATACACTTTGTTTATCACCCCCAAATATATATTTATTAAATTAACAGCAGAGAAGTGTCTGGACACTTAACTAGAAAAAATAACATTTTTGCAGCTCCACCCAATTCATTTCCCACAAGCTGCACAATGAACCATTATATTCTTCTACCTGTAGTGTTCCCGGTCTCTGGGCTGATTCTATGAGATATGATCACTTTTCCCATCCTGACCCCCCAGTTATCTTTATACAACCTTCCCCTATCCCGAATGCAGCATGAAGGGGCTCAGTGAAGGTGGTGGTGAAGGTGTATAAGTGTCGGATCGGGTCACACAGATCATAAAAGGACAGCTGTCCGGCCTCATAATCCAGATAGATCCTTACTCTGTTACTGGAGATATTGTCAGGTAAGTGGATGTCTTTGTTGTTATGGGTCACTAAACACTGATTTGTTTTGCTGTATAAACCCCAGGCCTTGTTATTATTTCCAATCCATGACTGGTCTCCTCTCCTCTCTATACTGGGATAACACATCCCGACTACCCAGCAATCTGATTTACTGACATCCACTTCCCAGTAATGTTGACCTAAGGAATATCTCCTGCTGCTTAATACCTGAGCATATTTCTGAAATCTCTCTGGTGTTTCTGGACGATTCTGCTTTATATCTGACATGGATACAGTTTTCATGTCCTCTGATATCTGTAGATTATTATGAGCAGTGTTTACATCCAGTACTATATCTGACGCCTCCTGTATAATGAAGCAGACATTTACCCCTTTCATCATATCAGATAACCCCGAGTGTAATGTGTGTGAGATTCCAGCCACATCCAGATCCCCTCCATCATGGAGGAGTTTATCATGTCTCTCTCCGTCATCATCTCCCTCCTCAGTATCACACAAGTCCCCTGTGTCTGATTCCTGTAAGACAGTCAGTGGGTCAGTCATGTTACACATCTCCTCAATGTGATCCATCTTCCTGGACAGCTCGGCCTTCTTTATTTCCAGCTTCTGGATCAGGTCAGACAATTGATGTGAGAGCCGCTCTTCCTGCCTGGAGATCTCCCTCAGGACTCTCTTCTCCAGGTCTTCCAGATGTCTCCTGAGGTCTCTGAACAGGGCAGTGACTCTCTCTGTTACACCGGCTGATTTTTCTGTTACTGGTATTTTTCTTGTACTTTTCTCCTGCGTTCCTGCAGACTCCGGACTCTTCTCTCAGTCTCCTCTCTCTCCGTGATCAGTTTCTGAAGACCAGTTCTCAGTTTCTTTTTCTTCTTCTCAGAGGCCTAATCCAGAGTCTCCACCTTGTGTCCCTGGTGTTCTCCAGCCAAACTGCAGGACACACAGATACAAGATTCCAGAATCTTCCTATGGACGGAGCATTTTCTCTTCTCCATGGAAGTGGTGGGTTCAGTTAGGACGTGTTCTGGTGACTTGCTGTGGACTCTCAGGTGATCATCACACAGAGAAGCTTCACAATGCAGACAGGACTTAACAGCAGGTACAGGAGAGTGAATACAGTGAGTACAGAAGATACCAGCCGTCTTCTTCTCCTGATCTGGCTGAGTAGACCGGAAAGTCTCCGCTATGTTACGCAGTGTTATGTTCCTGGGCCGATCCTGAAACTCTTCTCTGCACTCAGGACAGGAATAACCTCCAGACCCGTCCTGTGTATCAAACACATGATCAATACAGACCCGGCAGAAGTTGTGTCCACATCTCAGCATTACAGGATCTGTATAAGTGCTCAGACAGATGGAACAGTCCAGCTCCTGTCTCAGATCAGCAGACGCCATCGCTGACAGCAGAAGAGAGAAATGAAACTGAAAGAGAACAGAGGTCAATTCACATTCTTCCGTATAGGGAGGGGTTAGCTAATCTCTCAGCTTTTATCTACTGCAAACTACAAACACAAGGATTGTATTATGAGTTACAAACATCCTACTGCAGACTGAAAAAAGAGACCCGGGAATACAAACAGCACAGAATTTACAGACACCCCCAACCCTGCCACAAATGAAAGAAAGAAGTTGCTTATAAACTATGTGAATAAGACTGTGAATAGGGTATAAAATACATTGTGGTTGGTGTAACTCTGCGGATGGACAGCCAGTATATTTTACGGTTCTTTTTCCTTTTTTCTCTGTTATTCTTCTCTCTTCTGCTTTCTATTGTCCACTATTTCCCTATTTTCAAGGAATGAACCAGATCATTAATAATGGTATTCATGCACACATGGCTGCAATTTAAAGCTATGTATTATTTACTAATAGCAGAATATTTTAAATCAATGTGACTAGACAACCAACCCAGACCAACCTCACCCCAGGATTTTGTACTTACCAAGCCACGCTCATTTGCGCCTCCCGCAGCAGCATTCTGGTCTGTCTAAGCTCGGGTGCGACCTGGTGTCTGAAGTTTAGGCAGGAAGATGTCGCCATGTGACATTTTTTAGCCCTGGTGACTGGCTTCTCAGGGCAATGTACTGTCACATGGGTACTGTCATTCCTCATATTCCAAATCCCAGCTCTGTTAGCCAGGTCCCTGCTGCTGCAATGTGGGATCAAGTGTTAGCAACTATAATTGCCTGAGGGGGTGGGCTACCTGCATACACCGTCATTTTAATGGAAATGTTGCAGTGTCTCTTTAAAGTGGAACTCATTGCAGCTATTGAAACCACACACATACAAGCACATGAAATGTGTTTCTAAATGCAACTAATTAGCTAAATCTACTTCATCTAAACATTTTTGCAATTCCCTGAGACAGCAGCCCTTAAACTGGGAGAAGGAGTGAGTACTAGGAACCAATAACGATCTGCTGCATACACATGTGCTGATAAGGCAAATCATAACAATAAGAGAGGGAAGAGAGATTACCTTATTGGTTTGCAGCTGATTCTTCACTCGCAAATCAAAGGTTAGGGGCAGGTTGGTGACCACACTATATTTCTTTTGTGGACAGTTTATTCGTTTTTGCTAGAAATTAAAACAGTACAAAACAGCACGAATGAACAGAGCGTGTGTCTCAGGAAATGCAAGGCAAAAATACAACATAAAGAAAAAAGTTAAACTGCATATTGAGTAATGACAAAACCAGTAGGAGCAACCCGCAACAAAGAGAAGCAGGTACCCGTTGACATAAACTTCCAGTACCTGGATCAAGAGAAGAGGAGTAATATCCCAAGCCCAAGATGGAGGAGACACACCAAGAAGTAAAGTCGTACAGTCTGAGAAAAGAACACAGAACAGCAAAAGGGAGAAAAGGAAAGAAGAAAAAGGTAAAGAAAAGAATTGAAAGAGAAAGGAATAGAAAGCGCAGTATACCCAGTGCGCCATCCCCGCAAACAGAGCTACATTCATGAAAGGCCGTGGTTCAAGCCGAGGGATTGCAGGTAATAAAACCAAGGCGACCAAAAACGTACTAAAAGAGTCATTCAGAATCTCTGTTAACTTTTCATTGATCATTGTGCCCATGAGCCTCTGTTTGACCTTGTTGAAGTTAAGTGTAGGTTTCTTCCAAGATCTTGCTATAGTGTGAGGAGTGGCCAAAATTACAAAGGTGGCTAGCTTAGTTATTATTTTAGTTTCAGTCCATGGTGTCTTATTCCAAAGGGCCTCCCAGGGTATTCCGAGGGAGGTCGCAATGTAAGAGAGTTCTAAGAAGATTGTACACTCAAATCCATAACTTCTGCACCTTTGGAAATGACCACCAGATGTGGAACATAGATCCAGGAGAGGCACAACCCCGAAAACAGTTAGGGGAAGCGGCAGTAACAAACCTTGCCTGCTTTAGATACCAATTCATCAGAACCTTATACGAGTTCTCCAGGCCAGGGCAATAACATAGGAAGAACTTTTAGACACATATAACCAGATTGTGTTCCAGTCAGCGCAATCAAGCCTGCTGCCCAGATCAGCATTCTGACATACTTTATTGCCAAAAGTACACTATATTGCCAAAAGTATTGGGACACCCCTCCAAATCATTGGATTCAGGTGTTCCACAAAATTTCCATGCTACTAAATATTCCGCGGTCACCTGTTACTGGTATTATTACAAAGTGGAAGCAACTGGGAACAACAGCAACTCAGCCACGAAGTGGTAGGCCACGTAAAATGACGGAGTGGGGTCAGCGCATGGTCAATAGCTACAGACCTCCAAACTTCGTGTGTCCTTCAGATTGGTACAACAATAGTGCTTAGAGAGCTTCATGGAATGGGTTTCCATGGCCGAGCAGCTGCACCCAAGCCTTACATCACCAAGTGCAATGCAAAGCTTGGGATGCCGCTGCCACTGGACTCTAGAGAAGTGGAGACGTGTTCTCTGGAGTGACGAATCATGCTTCTCTGTCTGGCAATCCGATGGACGCGTCTGCTGGCCCGGATTCCCCACAAGGCCACCGAGGCCAGGCCTCGGAGCAGCATGGAGCGGAGGGGCGGCAGCAATGTGGAATCCCCCAACGCCCGGAACATTCAGTCCCGGGTGCGGGCAGTTAGTTATTTTCTACATTTAGCCCTGCTTTGGGAAAGCAAGGCTAAATGTAGTGTGAAGCCGCTTGTTCGTCCCCCATCCCCCCGCAACTACCTCTCTCCTCGCTCCGCCGCCGAGTCCCACACTGGCCGCCGTTGTGGTGAGCAGAGTGGCAGGGTTAGAAGTAACCCTGCTGCTCCGTGTAGACAGTGAGAGGGGAGAGCTGTGCTCTTCCCCTCTCTGCTGTCACAGGAGTTCTAGCACAGCGCTATGCTAGAACTCCTGTCCTGGAGGTGCCAGGGTCAATAAACAGAACCTGTCACCTCCAAATGCTATCACACATGGGATTGTTAGCTCCTATGTGATAGCAATAAAGTTAAGTGAAATAAAATACAATTTAAAAAAAATGATTAAATATAAACAAATTAGTACAAAATAATAAGAAATAATAATTAAAAACATTAAAATGGTAATTAAAAAAGTAAAAATACGAAAAAAATAGAAAATAATAAGAAAATAATTATTAAAAAATAAACAATAAGATAACAAATTATAAAAAAAGTAAAAAAACAAAAACAAATTAAAATTAACTCTGCCGCCCCTGCCTGACTACATTGTACCAAGTGTAATGTTTTGTGGAGGGGGGATTATGGTGTGGGGTTATTTTTCAGGGGTTGGGCTTTGCCCCTTAGTTCCAGTGAAGGGAACTCTTAAGGCATCAGCATACCAAGACATTTTGGACAATTTCATGCTCCCAACTTTGTGGGAACAGTTTGGGGTTGGCCCCTTCCTGTTCCAACATGACTGCGCACCAGTGCACAAAGCAAGGTCCATAAAGACATGGATGAGCAAATTTGGGGTGGAGGAACTTGACTGGAGTCCTGACCTCAACCCAATAGAACACCTTTGGGATGACTAAGAGCGGAGACTGCGAACCCGGCCTTCTCCTCCAACATCATTACCCGACCTCACAAATGCGCTTCTGGAAGAATGGTCAAACATCCCCAAAGACACACTCCTAAACCTTGTGGACGCCTTCCCAGAAGAGTTGAAGCTGCTATAGCTGCAAAGGGCGGGCCAACTCAATATTGAACCCTACGGACTAAGACTGGGATGCTATTAAAGTTCATGTGCGTGTAAAGGCGTCACAATACTTTTGGCAATATAGTGTATATGATTGCCGCACAGGTACCCTCAGAAAAGTTAAGCCTCTATACAAGGAAGAAATCAGCCCAGTAGATTTTGTATTATGAAAACATCTGTCCTCAAAATTGACCTGTGATGATAATGAGGTTTGAGCATATCAATATTAACTATGAAATTCTGTTTTCTCTCATTTTGAAAAAACGCAGCCTTCAATTCAGTTCAGTTGACCTCAGGCTGCCCTAACTTTGCCAGGCGTCCTCGAATTGCAGCACTGGATATCTTCTAATCTGGGCCTGTGATCTTTATAGTCCTTAGTGAACCACTAAACTCTGATTGTTTATACAGAGCTTTCCCTAGTCCTGATGTGGATTAGCATTAATGATCTTTTACAATAGGTGCAGCAAATCTCTAACGCCATGATAATTGTCTTACACAGCTTAGCTGCTTCCCTACAGATTGCCTGGTGGATAAGGAAGGAATGTGTGGTATCCCACTGAGTCATAAACTGAGAGTGACAATACTAACCCAATTTCCATAACTCAGCATTGGAGAACGGCAGTGTAAAATGAATTGCATAAATACCGTTTCCCCGAAAATAAGACCTAGTACTATCTTTGGGAATTGTTAAAATATAAGACCTACCCTGAAAATAAGACCTAGTTGTGACCATTCCCGGGGCCGGTGGTGGCATAAGAGGGAACTTGAAGAGCTGCGGGAGAGAATCAGTGGTGCCAACCAAGCCAGCGCTAGAGGAAGTGAGGCGGCACCGGAGGGAGCAGAGCCGCATAAGCCGATGCCTCCTCTATAGCGCCGGCTCCTGTCACATGCGTAGTGATACCAAATGCACTCCCGCCTGTGAGGAATCCATAGTGAAAGCGCGCTTCGCTCATTCTGGCCAGCGGTTAGCAAATTGCTCTTGGAAAGGTACGGCACCCCTGATTGCCCTGATCACCATATTTTTGTACTTGAATACATGTAGACTGCTGTACATGAATAAGTGTGGAATGTTGTACATTAAAAAAAATACAAGACAGTGTCTTATTTTCGGGGAAACACGGTAGCTACATCGTGTATATGAGAAATCCACACATATCAATCATGGGTGGGTTACAATGGTCAGAAGCATTAAACCTCCTGGGCAAGCCATAATTCATATATACGTCGCGCCTAGCCCCAATGTGAAGCTAATATCATGATGCACAATACTTTAAGGGTTATCGGACAGTAATAGGTAAGAATATTAAGATATGTGAAAAGGTATGAGTTTGATAGTTCCGGAGGATCAGAAAAGGACATTGTAAAGTATTTTGCTGTGTGGGCAGTAAGGTAAAGTAGGAGCTTACTATCCCAAAAAATAGCTTACAGAGAAAAACACTGGTTCTATTTCCAGCCACATTCCTAAACATTTCTGTTTAATATTGTATAGAAATAGTGTAAGCTTTATATGGTTCAGCTTCATAAAGAAAGTTCTTCAGAACTTATCCACTCTCCAATGTGTGTTTTAGGGCTTCCAGCTCACTTTAATACAAAATAAACGCAGTTTAACAAAAGGATCTTTGCATGGAGGGGATGTTCCTGCACAACACGGTACCCATTTTCCAGCCTCCTGTCTATATAATGCACAGCTCTCTCTGTTTCATCATTAGGACAGAGCTGCTTCATTTCCATTCTCTAAGCTGGATTGACTCTCAGTCACCAAATTGGACTTTCAGCCTATTCACACAAAGACTAATACTTAAACAGATTAGACTCACTTGTCTGGTCACAACACTGAGACTTCCTCCAACTGTCATTCACATTGGTCTGGTTCAGGTGCTTGGCCAGACTGGGAATCAATGGTGTGGAGCAAGTTCTTGTGATAAATACAATTATACTTGACTCCTTTTACTGTGATAAAGGATTGTATGTAAGTCCAGGGCAGTGCAAGTTTGATCTCTCTGGGGTTATCTTTCAGGGTGTATTTAAGCAGCTGTTTCTATTGGGATTGGGAATTACTGTACTACACATTCATAGATTATCACACCAAATACTTAAACATTGTTAGAGTCCTGTGCGTTCCTATGTCCAGAGTCCAGTGCGTCCCTATGTCCAGAGTCCAGTGCGTCCCTATGTCTGGAGGGCAGGCTCATAAAGCGAACCTGTCACCTCCGAATGCTATCACACAAGGGCTTGTTAGCCCCTGTGTGATAGCAATAAAGTTAAGCGAGAAAAGTACAAAATAATAAAAGAAATTAAAATGAAAAAAACTGATAACAAGTTAAAAAAAATAAAACAAAAACATTATTACCTGTGTAACCTCAGGACCCACATTTTTCCTTAGTCATTAAGTTGTGACCCAAGTTGCACAGCATTGCGATGCTGCACGTTCCGATGCAGGCAATAGAACTGTGGGTGGGCGGTGCATTTGGGGTGTCATTCAAATGAATGGCAATGCAATGCACTTTTCACACCAAAATGCATGGTAAGTGCGATGCGAAGTACAGTGAGTTAATTGCATGGGACTGTGCGATTAGCGCACTGTACTAGTGTGAATGGGTCCTCAAAAACACACAACCACAGACACAATCTCACACACACACTCCCAAAAAAATAATTTTTGTTCCTTTTTTAAGATCCACCCAGTCTCCTTACCTTATGAGAACTGGAGTGGATCCTTAGCCTGGGGTCCAGTGTGGGCTGCTGTACTGTGACAGAGCTCTATCCATATGTGCATTGCTTGTACAGCTCCCTTGCGCACGCTGTAGAGGTGCAGGGAGCCAGTATGTTACATCACTCCGGTCCAGGCTCCGCTACAGGACATGCAAGGGAACTGTAAGCAATACACATATGGAGCCCACCCTACCTCAAGCTGACACTCGGCACCGGGCAGCATATTTTGAATGGCTGCTTGCGCAAGAACTGACAGTGCTGTGCTTGGGGGTAGGCTGTGGAGCCTCTCACCTAGAAAAGTGGAAGGCACACAGGGACCCACGGAACACAGGCAAATAGTCCCACCGCAATCCTGACCGAGAAGCCCCATATAATGTGGGGGGGGGGGTGCTGTAGTGGCTGCGGATGACGCCGCCTAATACTTGTAAAACAGAAAAAATGGTCACTAGCACTCCAAGTTCTCTTCAAAACGAAATCCTTTTATTCATTGTGCAGGTCATATCACCATGCGTGGCAATGATTCGGAACCTGTCCGGTCCCTTCATCACTTTTGTTTGCCGGATTTTGAAGAGAACTTGGAATGCTGGTGACCATTTCCACTGAACACAGGGTCGCGACCCACTTTTGTTATACAAAATATCAAATAAAATCAAATTTCTTCCTATGGGTAGGCCAAAATGTATTCTGCTAAATGTTTTTGGTGTTGACAGGGGACATGACTATGTATGTCAGTGAGAGGTTGAAAAGGGCAACTTTCTCTGGCTAAGAAGGGGTTAAGCCTTGCCCCAACAGGTACACCTCCTCTCTGTATAAATTAGCCTGCACCTGATCGTGACTGAGAGGGGGAGAGAGCTCAGAGCAAGATCCAGGCTGCACTGGATGGACACAAACTGGAGAGCGTCTGAATATCTGTGGTATAAGGTCTGCCAGAAAAACTGTATGTAACGGACTTTGGTTTCTATGCATTTTCATTTATACTGGAAGCTGGATTAGCTGCTCCAGTAGGACATAGTAAGGGATACTACAGTTAGTTAGCCTCCTAAGGTGGAGTAGGCCTGTTTATTTGTGTTACTTTTGAGTTCTGCCGGAAATTGTTTGGTTAAATAGGGAAAATGTACCCTGTGGATGATGAGACTTTTTATGTTGAACGCAATAAAGCTGCATTTATTGCCCATACTCAGGACAGCCATCAGGCGGGTATGGCAGATACTCATGTAAGGGGCCCGGGCAGCCTGGGGGGCCCGCCCAGGTCCCTTACATGACTATCGGCCGACGGTGAAGGGCGAGGAGGCAGAGGCCTGGCCCTAGCAGCGCAGGGCCCCAGCATTGCCGCTCCAGCGGCTTTGAGACAAGCTAGGGCCCCATCAGCGACGCTGCTCGTCTGATATCTGACTGGCCGGAAGTGGCGTCATGTTAGTGACGTCACTTCTGGCCGGTCCGGCGGCAGACGAGGCCATGTGTGCAGGTAAGAGGAGCTAGGAAGGAAAGGAGGGAGGGGAGGGATGCAGCCTTTACCAGCCCACCTGAGACCCCCTCAGAGCACACTATAGACAGTCTCAGATGGGCTGTGCAGCATCTATGGTGGGCTCTGCAGGGCCACTCAGGTGGGTCCCAAAAATTTCTGATGGCTGCCCTGCCCATACTGATTAAAGACCAGTGACTTTCTTACAGTGTATACTAAGCGGTTTGTGTGAATTGGTAGGTACCATTTATAAGACTTTTTAAAACATGGTTTTTATCCATATGGTGTCAAACAAAATCGGTATTGCTCAGGGTAAAGTATTGGTTTAGGAATGATATGGTTGGTATATATTTTCAAACCTTGGTGTGTCTGCTACATAAAGTCTTATAATTTGAGGAAGCTGAATCCAACCAGGGACATTTTTTTTATCTACGGCCCTGGCATTCTAACACAAACAGATGTGACCAAACAAAGAAAAAATTATTTTTTTAAAACAAGTAATGTAACCGTAGACAAATGTGCAAATTTTGTTCCATGAGTTGTCTCATTTAAGAGACACAAATTTGCATTTCGGGTAAAAAAACAAAAAACAAAGTGAAGTTACTCATAAATGAAGTAAAGGGATTTATTAATATTTTTGTGCAATTTTTAATCAAATATGACACAACAAAAAGTGAAGTAACAAAATGCAACATATGAAAGGTTAAAAGAAAAAAATTAATAACCAAAAGGAGGAGAGAAGGGAGGAGTTGAAGAAGAACTTTAAAAAGAGAACTATGAGGTGAGTGCTTTTCACTCGCCTCATAGTTCTAGACGACCTGTGACAATGAGACTGTCACAGGTCGGCTCAGTAGATCGGGTTCGCTCGCCTCTCGATCCTGTCACCGCTCTCTGCCGTGACAGGGGGAGGGGCTGCATTCCCCTCTCCCCGCTCCGATCTGCCAGCGCTGACTGGCGGAATGGACGGGGGAGGGGGCGGGTACAGCTGGCTCTGCCTCTAGATAGGCAGAGCCAGCTGTCACTCACGCAGCTGGGCGGATCTCGTCATCTACGTCGGGATCCGCTCCGGCTGCGGCGTCTCAGTATATACTGAGCTTAGGGTAACGGGAGGACGCTAGTTTGTGTCCTCCCGTTACCCTAAGGAGAACTATGGGGAAAAACACTGACCCCCATAGTTCTCCTTTAACCATATCTTCAAAATAACAACAAAGGCACCTATAGAAATGTTTTATAATGGCAATCTATAAACAGATACTTCCTCCCCTTTCTTCTCACAGCGGCCATTTTTATTAAGGGTCAGATTATTCCATCTCCCTTTACTTCCTGGAACTCTGGCACATGTGACTAGGACATGTGACCACGCACATCATCTCAGGGGAGGAAAATGCCTTTCCCTGAGACCTTGTGAGATTACAGATGAGATTTCCAAGCAATGCTTTGCGGATATCACCTTCCCAGGATGCAACGCTCGGGCACATTACATCACTTTTGCCAAAGAGGACCAGGAAGCTGAAAAATAATAATTGTAGGTAAAATAAAAATGTTTGTTTAACTAATGAATGTGAGATGATTTCATATCAGCATGCAGAGCTCCATACTGATGTGATTTTTAGCCAAAGGTCCGCTTTTAAAGGATGATTCGGGGTTAAATTTAAAAATGTTTCATTTAAAAAAGGAGACATTTATTTAACTGCAATATTAATTATATGCACTTTTTTCATATCCAGTATACTGAGAAACATTATTAATTGGATAATTACATCTCACAAAACCATATGAATATTTTAGGTTTGACATTTCCTGTACATTGTAGCCCCACGGCCCCCGGTTCTTGATGACCCTGTCAATGCTCCAGCAATATGAAGGTCAATACAGCCTACAATTCTTAATTACCAACTAAATTAGACCAAAGCCGCAGAGGAAGATTGCCTTTACTTGGGATTCTTGGCTTCTTGAAAACTTCTACTTGCTTCCCCTTTGTAATGTTAAGAGCGGCTAGTAAGGGTTTGTGTAAATCCCATCTGTACTGTGCTGGCTCATTTCATTATCATTTTTAAAGTAGATTTGAACACCGCCTGTCCTAATAAAGGGTTAAAGGATTACAACCCTGTAGGGATGTCCCGATGCCACTTTTTCAGGCCCAAGTACAAGTACATCCTCTCATGTACTTGCCGATACCAATTACCGATACTTTTACAAAAACAAAAAAAAAACCTAGCGCAAGCTTCGTCGCTAGGCATCGGGGCATTTTGACAAGTACTTGTCAAAATGCCCTGTAATCGGGCCCGATTCCGATGCTAGCATCAGTATCGGGACATCCCTACAACCCTGGCTTGTGCATTGTATGTTACTGGGACTAAACACAATCCACATATTCCTGTTCTCAGTCTTTATATAAGGAGATGTCACTGTGAAGGTGCTGAGCAAAACCCGGATTCAACCATGTTGCCTGCTGCAACAAACCATTTCAAAGGCTAGAAATATATATATATATTTTACATAAAATCACATTTTTTTCCATGTCTTACATTTTGTTTGCTTTCTAAAGCCGAGTAGAGTAGAAAGCCCGTGCCCCGCCAGCACCTGCAGAGCGGGACTCTTGCACTCTGTGGGTAAGTGGTCTCTCTGCAGAGATCCAACACGCTCCTTTTTAAATCAGAGCTAGAGCTCTCCAATCATCATAGCTAATGTTCCCCCGCTGATTACATAGTTACATAGTACATAGTATTTGAGGTTGAATAAAGACATTAGTCCATCAAGTCCAACCTATTAGGATCTCATTCTAGGAGTACCCGTACCCCTGTATATTACATCAGCCACATCCAGATCCCCCCCATCATAGAGGAGTTTATCATGTCTCTCTCCGTCATCATCTCCCTCCTCAGTATCACACAAGTCCCCTGTGTCTGATTCCTGTAAGACAGTCAGTGGGTCAGTCATGTTACACATCTCCTCAATGTGATCCATCTTCCTGGACAGCTCGGCCTTCTTTATTTCCAGCTTCTGGATCAGGTCAGACAATGGATGTGAGAGCCGCTCTTCCTGCCTGGAGATCTCCCTCAGGACTCTCTTCTCCAGGTCTTCCAGATGTCTCCTGAGGTCTCTGAACAGGGCAGTGACTCTCTCTGTTACACCGGCTGATTTTTCTTGTACTTTTCTCCTGCGTTCCTGCAGACTCTGGACTCTTCTCTCAGTCTCCTCTCTCTCTGTGATCAGTTTCTGAAGACCAGTTCTCAGTTTCTGTCTCTTCTTCTCAGAGGCCTCATCCAGAGTCTCCACCTTGTGTCCCTGGTGTTGTCCGGCCAAACTGCAGGACATACAGATACAGGCAGCATCTGCAATGCAGTAATATTTAAGTAGTTCTCTATGGACGGAGCATTTTCTCTTCTCCATGGAAGTGGTGGGTTCAGTTAAGACGTGGTCTGGTGATTTGCTGTGGACTCTCAGGTGATCATCACACAGAGAAGCTTCACAATGCAGACAGGATTTAACAGCAGGTACAGGAGAGTGAATACAGTAAGTACAGAAGATTCCAGTTGTCTTCTCCAGATCTGGATGAGTAGATCGGAAAGTCTCCGCTATGTTTCGCAGTGTTATGTTCCTCTGCAGTACAGGCCGATCCTGAAACTCTTCTCTGCACTCAGGACAGGAATAGCCTCCAGATTTCTCCTGTGTATCAAACACACGATCAATACAGACCCGGCAGTAGTTGTGTCCACATCTTAGCATTACAGGATCCGTATAAGTACACAGACAGATGGAACAGTTCAGCTCCCGTCTCAGATCAGCAGACGCCATCGCTGACAGCAGACGAGAGAAATTAAACTGAAAGAGAACAGAGAACAATTTACATTATTCTGTATAGGGAGGGGTGAGCTAATCTCTCAGCTTTTATCTACTGCAAACTACAAACACAAGGATTGTATTATGAGTTACAAACATCCTACTGCAGACTGAAAAAAGAGACCCGGGAATACAAACAGCACAGAATTTACAGACACCCCAACCCTGCCACACATGAAATACCTTATTGAAGTTGCTTATAAACTATCTGAATAATAGGGTGAATAGGGTATAAAATACATTGAGGGGAATTTACCAAATCTGGAGCAGTTGCCCGTGCCAACCAATCAGCTTCTCTCTTCAGTTTGTTCAGTGAAGATTTGAAAATAAAAGACAGAAGCTGATTGGTTGCAGTGCACAGCTGCTCCAGATTTTGTCTGCTCCAGTTTTGATAAATTCCCCTCATTGTGGTTGGTGTAACTCTGCGGATGGACAGCCAGTATATTTTACGGTTCTTTTTCCTTTTTTCTCTGTTATTCTTCTCTCTTCTGCTTTCTATTGTGCACTATTTCCCTATTTTCATGGCATCAAATCAGATCATTAATAATGATATACACGCACACATGGTTGCAATTTAAAGCTATGTATTATTTACTAATGTAGAACCTTGCTAAAAAGGAGTGCTAGATCATATATGTATTCTATGTTCAGTTCAATGACAGAACAATCTGTGAAGCTGTGTCTGCCTGCTGCTGGGTGTGGTACCACACAAAGCAGAACAGCCAATGAGGATTGCTATGTGCATTTATGTCTCCCAGCCAATCACTGTAGTACAGTAGCAGTGATGCATGCTGGGAGAGGATATAAATGGTGAGTGTGGCTGATGCAACAGTCTCTTCCCTTCCCCGGGGCCCTCCTGGCCTGGGGGCAGGATGTCTGCTGCTAATGAGACAGAATGGACTAGGCCTGAGCTGGGGGCCCAGTGGTCAGCCACTCATGTCTGAAGTTCAACCTGAACAAGACCCTTGACAGTACTGCTTGCCAGAAGTTCTCCACACAGATTGCCGGTATGTCTTAAAGGTCCAAGTCTGTGGTGGCAGCAGTTACTTTGCTCTGTTTCAAGTACAAGGAGTCTACCTTCATCCTGGATGTGCCTGACCCTCTTCCCTCTCTCCCTGGAGTTCAGAAATAAAAGAGAATCATCTTGGAGTTATTGTCTGGACTTCAATCTGTCGGTAACCACTAGAGGTGGTAAGTGCTATTGGGGCAGCCATGTGTTTTAATAATCCCTAGACAGGCTATGGAAGATCCGATCATTCATCAGCTCCTTCGGGGGTGAGCGCTACACTAATATCAGAATATTTTAAATCAATGTGACTAGACAACCAACCCAGATCAACCTCACCCCAGGATTTTGTACTTACCAAGCCACGCTCATTTGCTCCTCCCTCAGCAGCATTCTGGTCTGCCTAAGCTCCGGTGTCACCTGGTGTTTAGACAGGAAGATGTCGCTGGCCCCGCCATGTGATATTTTTCAGCCCTGGTGATTGGCTTCTCAGGTCAATGTACTGTCACATGGGTAAGATCCTTCCTCATATCCCAAATCCCAGCTCTGTTAGCCAGGGCTCTGCTGGAATGTGGGATCAAGTGTTAGGAACTATAATTGCCTGAGGGGGTGGGCTACCTGCATACACCGTCATTTTAATGGAAATGTTGCAGTGTCTCTTTAAAGTGGAACTCATTGCAGCTATTGAAACCACACACATACAAGCACATGAAGTGTGTTTCTGAATGCAATAGCTAAATCTTCATCGAAACATTTTGCAATTCCCGGTTACAGCAGCCCTCAAACTGGGAGAAGGAGTGAGTACTAGGAACCAATAAGGATCTGCTGCATGTAAATGTGCTGATAAGACAAATCATAATAGAAAGAGAGGGAAGAGAGATTACCTTATTGGTCTGCTGCTGATCCTTCACTCACAAATTAAAGGTTAGGGGGAGGTTGGTGACCACACTATTTCTTTTACAGACAGTTTATTCGTTTTTGTTAGAAATTAAATTAGTACAAAACAACATGAATGGTAAAGAGTATCATAACACATCTCAGGAAATGCAAAGCAAAAATACAACATAAAAAAATGACAAAAAAAGTTGCAATGCAAATCTTACAACTCAATTATTTCTTGAGAAAGTTAAACTGCCTATTGAGTAATGACAAAGCCAGTAGGAGCAACCCACAGCAAAGAGCATAGGTGTCGCTTCGGGGGGGGGGGCAATTGCCCCCCTAGGTTATTCCTTGCCCTCCCCCCCCCGCTGATTTCCCTTTAAAAAACGGCCACAGCCACCGCTAATACAGCGGCGATCTTCTTTGACAGCCCTGCTCTGTAGATGAGGAAATACATTAGGCTACCTGCCCGCTTCACTGTACGGGCTCCTCGGCAGTCGGTAGCCACCTGTATCTTCCTCAATTCTCCGCTCACCTCATGCTACTGGCTGGGAGGGAGAGTGCAGCACTGTCATTGCCTGCCTTTGTTTTTCAGCATAGCCTGAGGGGAGCAAATCAAGGCTGCTCCCACCACCCGGAGAGGAAGAAGGACGCGAAGACAGAGCACATGAATTTCACATCAGCACTGTAAGTCCCTTTTCTATCTGTGTTACACTGCTGGCATCTGCACTCTGCGTCAAACGCACCACTGACCTCTGCACTCTGCGTCACACGCACCACTGATGTCCACACCCTGCGTCACACGCACTGCTGACCTCCACACCCCTACGTCACGTGCAATGTTGACCTCCGCACCCTGCGTCACACGCACCGCTGACCCCCGCACATCTGTCCCAATAGTAAAACCGATACCAGCAAATTTTTCAAATTGACTTGGGTGTTTTAGGTCAGGCGCTTACTGGGGACCTTGCGGCAGCCTTCTGGGGAGCCACACAAAAAACACACCAACGACGCAATCTGTGACAAGGTAAATGGAGGGGAGAAGTCATCACCCTCATCACTTTGATTTTGATTATAGGTTGAATATCCCCAAATGGACAACTAGTCAGATCCATAAAACAATGAGCCCTCTCCATAGGTTTTCTCTGGGGAAGTCCTGAAACAACTGGCGAGTATCCACTTCTAACTCCCTATGCCGGATGACCAGCCCACTGTTCCTCACAAAAAATTGACCCACCTCTTTGTTTACCTTTATCATTGCCTTGTTCAGCCGTTCCACCGACCTGGCCAAACACCAGGATGCGCGAGCTACAATCTCCGACCACACCAACGTGTCAGGAAACGCTGAACGAAGCCGCAAAAAGTCGAACTTTACATCACGTATAAGCTCCCTCATAGGTCGTAAAGCCAGGTCATTCCCACCAACGTGCAGGAGTAAAATGTCAGGAGCCCTATCTAACCGTGCGACACTATGCACTTCCGGGACCACCCTGCTCCACAGCATGCCCGGCCTACCAATCCATCGCACGTCGGCCACGTTCCTTGGAACTCCAAGTTGTCTCCCATCAGGACGAACGTCAGCCCGCCTGGCCCCCAGAACACATAGGAATGTCCCAGGATTCAGACAAGGCACGGCCCACCACCTGAAAATAATAACAAACAAAATGCCGACAAAAGCCACAACAATATAGCTTAAACAAATTGAGGACGGACGCACAGGCGATAACGGTCAGACTCCCATCTACCTATGCGTTTGAGGGCGGGCTCGCCCAAACCCCATCTTGCCGCCTCCGTAGCAGCCCCAATTCTGAAAGAGTGGGAGGAAAAGTGTCTAGCGTCCAAGCCAACCCCAGCCAGACACGAGTGAAAGACCGAAGTAAATTGAAAACGGGATAAAGCAGAACCGTTGACATGAATTAAGAATGAGCCTGGCTGTGCTGGGCGGACCACCAAAAAGTCTTCTACCGCATGAACCGGACACAACGGGGAACCGCTCACCCGATAAAGCTCCACCCATGCACCTCTACCCATCTGATCGGTCTTAGAGCGCCGGATCAGAATGCAAACGGAATCATGCGACAGAACAACGTCATGGGACAAGATACCCCCCCTGAGGAACTAACCAATTCCCCAATCCTAAAAGCCCCAAAAAAGGCCAACAAGAAGGCCACACGAAAAAGCACAGTCTCAAAGTCAGAAAAGCAGCACCGCGGAAGATAACTTACGATTTTCTCCAAAATCTCAAAAGTAACCGGCCTACGCGAATCAGTATGACACTGTCCCTTACAAAATCCTTTTATTACTTGCCTCACCACAAAATCTTTGGTGAAATCTTGAAAACCTTGTAGCTTGAACAGAAACGCCAAAGCCGAGAGCTTATTGCTGACGGAAGCTGCAGACACACCTTGCAAACTGTTGCTAGCAATAAAATACAGAACCAATTCGGCACCTACCTTCCCCAGATCAATGGCGCCGACTTCCTGAAGTAACAGAAACCACTCTCGCCATACCTTTACATATGCAGACCACGTTGCCGGGCTCACCGACTGCTTGAACAGTTCCCCAATTACTCCAAAGGAAGCCTCCACAGGTGCCGCGGACAAGGAACCCCATGTTGCTCCGCTCCCGGTGCCAACGCACGGAACCTGTCCCACTGGAAACGCTATAAGGCATCTGCTAGAGTGTTATGAACCCGCGTCAAGTGGACTGCATAGATAAACGTATTAAGTTGTAAGCAGCGCAAAACCAGGTTACGGAACAAATGCACCACCGGCGGCGAGGAAGCGGAAACCGTATTGATAGCCTGCACTACCCCCATATTGTCGCAGTTAAATTGCACCCTTTTGTCTCCCGCTTAAAGGCCCCCAGATGTCAACCGCTAGCACCACTGGAAATAACTCCAGCAGAACTAAATTCTTCAAAAATCCTTCGCCCGCCCACTTCACAGGCCATGGTTCCGCACTCCAATGACCTTGAAAATACGCCCCATACCCGGTGGACCCGGCCGCATCCACAAGGACCATCCATTGAACGATTCCAAGAACATATGCCAGACCCGCAAATCAGCGCAATGTTC